ACTCTTACGTGGCATTGAGATTTTGGAAAAATAGATGAGTTGGTTTACGATTTTTAACTTATGAAAAAAAACATTGATAACATGAGACTTTTAATTTGATTAATAATTTAAAGGTTGAAAATAAGATGTTTATTAAGGGAGTATATAAAATTATGGTATAAATTAAAATTTACACCGAAAGTGTATATCAATTAACCTCAATAAAATTATAGTATAATTAAAATTATATGGAAGCAGGAGGATACATGATTCAATTAAAACGTATCAAGACATGAATACATATGCTCTTGGAGACAATAAAGGAAAAAACGGGCGAGTTAACGAAACTATTACAGTTACCACCACTTATAAATTGGAAGCGTTTCCCTAGTCTTTTCAAATTCAAAAAATGTCTGAAAACCCAACTTTGCAGAGAAAACTGAAAGACCTAGAATCAATGTTGGATGATGCAATACTAAGTGGCCTCCCAAAACATTCACATGAAGACATTCAAGAGACATTTACATGTATAGGAAACCTTGTATCTGGTGATTCAACACAGCCACAACATTTGCATCCCTTGACACAAAAGTTGGAATCATTGAGAAAGTCTTTTAATGAACGGGACACCACTTTCACAACTTTTTCTAATCCAGTATTTGACCAGGACTCTATTTCCAATTCTGGTTCTTCTAGTCCTTGTATGAATCATAATGAAGGAGGACAAGAAGTTGACGATAATCAGGAGTTTGTAGGTGAGAAGAAGAGTGTGGTGGAAGTTAGAGGAAATGTTAAGGAAAAACAAGTTGTGGAATTTGATTCTTGTTTAAAAGATGAGAAGAATAATGAATCGGGATTTGGTTGTGTGTTGGGTTGTGGGATTGGAATTGGCATGATTTTGATGGGGTTTATTATGGTCAATATTTGTGGTTGCTTTCAATATGTGGAACAAACAAATTTTGCAATTCCAACATAGAAATGGTAAACTTTGAATCTAATAGATTTTCTGCATTACTTATTATGATAGGACGATTTGTAATTTATATGAGTCTATTTTATTTTGATATATTTTTGTTCCTTTCAAACAAATAACATGTATTGATATTTTGAATATATAGTTATAGTATTAAAATAGTATGCAACAGCAAACCATGATGAAGATTTAGGAAATCCAGCACAATACTGATCTGACGTACACGAGGGCCATTTTAACATTTTGTATGGAGTGTAATGCAAATTGTGGGGTTTATTTTTGTTGGAATGAAAGATATAATTTGGACAAGAAGCCCTCAAGAATCACAAGACTTCAAAATTGCTTGTATTGTGCAGTAAAAGACGTTGTGTTGTGCGTGGTTGAAATAAAGAAAGAAGTAATAAATTTGTTGGTACTATAATGTTAGTATTAATTTTATTAAGTGTTTGTTGAGTGTTGAAAATAAAAAATGAAAGTAGTTTGTCCATAAGCACCCAATCCAAGTATAAATAAATTAGCAACGTGGCAGCGAAATGAGTGTCCCGGACAATAGGGGATGGCAGCAGTTGTAGGAGTGGGAGTGAGGTCCTGGTCATGGCCAGTTCCGCCTCCCAAATACAAATCATCATCATCTTCGAGAATCAACGCTTCCTTCTCTTGGGAACCTAACCAAAAACGCTCATCATCATCACACCACCAAGTATTCACTTTCCCTGTCACCAGTAGCAGTAGCAGTAGCAGTGAGAGCAACAACATCATAACCATTTCTTTTGTATCTTCAATCTCAGAAATCCCATCCACTGAATGGGACGCTTGTGCTCTCGACGCTACCGGCCACCACAAATACAATCCCTTCCTCTCCCACGCTTTTCTATCCACCTTAGAACACTCCCAATCCGCCGTCAAAGATAAAGGATGGACCCCACACCACATGATTGCTCAAGATCAATCCAATCATATCCTCGCCGTTGTTCCTCTCTATCTCAAAACTCATTCCTATGGCGAATTCGTTTTCGATCATTCTTGGGCTAATGCTTATTATAATTACGGTTCCTCTTATTACCCTAAGTTACAATCATGTGTTCCATTTACTCCTGTTACTGGTCCCAGGATCTTACTTCGTCATACTTCTTTTCAAGATCTTGTTTTTGATTCTATTCTCTCTGCAATCAAGGATCTTACTCTCATCTCTCGCCTTTCCTCCTTTCATGTTACTTTCCCATCTCAAAACCAGTGGCACAAGTTCACTCAAAAAGGTTTTCTTCCCAGGATTGGAATGCAGTATCACTGGACCAACCGCAACTACAAAAAGTCTCTTACATTACTTTCTCATTTACCTCCTCCTCCCCTCTTTTTCTTTACTTAACTTACTTCATGCTCTGCCAGTTTTGATGAATTCTTGATGGACTTGAAGCATAATAAAAGAAAAAAGATACGTCAAGAGCGCAACAAGGTTGCCTTGCTTCTATTCATCATATCTATATACGTTTCCTCACCTTGCAATATTCAACTCATATCTTTATCTGCAGGTTGCAGCTCAGAACTTGCTTATGAAACGCCTCCGCGGTTATGAAATTAAGGTCTTTTCCACTATGTCTACACTTAATACAGACTATATGTCTACTGTGTGCTTTTTTCACTATATTTATTCTGCTTTATGTCTCTTACACATTACCAAGCTTATGTTTCCTGTACTGCATACGAGAAGAAAGTTTTACAAAGGCTAGGATATATCATAATTACACTGCACTTTTTCTAATTACTTCCATTTCTATTCCAAGGCAAAGCACTGGGATTCCTTCTACACCTTTTACAGGAACACAACTGATAACAAGTATGTTATGCTAACTCAACCACCATACTATGATATGGGAAGCGTCGCACTATTAATATATACTATGGTTTCTGGTATATTCACAGATGGGGTACTCCTTTCTTGACAAGGGAATTCTTTCACGAGATGGGATCAAAAATGGGAGATCAGGTACTACTCATTGTTGCTGAAGACGCGGGTGAACTAGTTGGGGGTGCCCTAAACCTTATCGGAGGAGATACTTTGTTTGGGCGTCTATGGGGGTGTCAGCCGGAAACTTACTATCCATTTTTGCATTTTGAAGCATGCTATTATCAGGTCCACACTTCTCATTATCTTTTCCTCATGTACTATTGGACGATTTCTTATATTTTGCTATGTTTGGGTTTTATGGTTGGAGACTAGTCGTATTGTTTTTCATCAGATTTTTATCCCCTCTTAATCATTTATGGAGTGGATTTTTCCTTCTGGGATCCTTGTGGGTGTCAGCTTATAGGAAGTGTTTGGCACATGAACAGATCAAAACAAAATTGGTATTTGTTCTGTTATCCTTCAGCTCCACTAAGAGGAGGAACTCAAAGTTACCAAATTTTTACGCCGTGTCCCATTTTGTTCTATTTTTAACAGGGAAATAACAGGAAACCAAAAAAACATGTTTCTGTCAAGTGGCTGTTTTACTATAAACCTAAACCCATGATTTCTGTCAAAGGCCTATTGAATCTTTCGTACTGATTTTGTCCAAAATAAATAGCAAAGCTCTTTTTAGTATGTACCAAATACAAAACAGACACATATGTTATATTTTTCTTATTTTATTTTACTGTCAACAAAAACACAACCATAATGTCTATTTTTTATGGTGGTGGAGGGTGCAACCCTGCAAGGGCATACCCTGAATCTCCATTTCTTTGTCTCGTTAATACAATTTTATGCTTGAAAATAATATTAGGGAAATCACTTACTGTATTTACGTTGTGTTTGGACATGATAGGCAATTGAAGCAGGAATTGAACTGAATCTTAAAACAGTCGAAGCAGGAGCTCAGGGTGAACATAAGATTGAGCGTGGGTATCTTCCTGTGACAACATATAGCTGTCATTACCTTATCGATGAAGAATTTAGCAAAGCTATAGAAGATTTTTTAGTTCGTGAAACTACTCAGGTATGATGCACCATAGATTTATATTTTGTTCTTTGTCTTTCTAAGTTAGCTCTCCTTATCTTAATAATACTTGTACATCATTTTATCAAATAGATACAGTACTCGTTATTTATATAAACTTTTATAATTGAAAAACACATTTAGTTGATGTCTTTTTTTCAAGTGCGATTACTCCTTAATCGTTAAAGCCAAGTTGGAAAGTATTGATGTATGAGTCCTAGGTGGTAGTTTTAACTTGTCATGTGATCAAAAGTTCTATTTTTTATTGCATTCACCAAAACAACCTCCACTTGGTAGCAAAATGAAGAGAACTGTATAAGCACTTGGTAACAACCTCAGGTATGAAAGGCAAGATGTAACCATTTTTTGGCTTCAGAATATATTAGAAGTAATCAGAGTAGTGCATTTTGGCGTTCAATAAAATATGTTTGCATTCCTCCAATGAGGAATTTTCTATTATTATAGTCCATGCTAATGAGATTCTAAAGTACTATGGGACATTGTTGCCTCTGCAGGTGAAGATGGTTATGAAACTCTTGCATGATTCAGGTCCTTTCAAGGAAGGTGTTTTTTAAAAAGTTATACTCATCGGCTTTGATAACTTACATTTGTAAATACACATCTGGTTTTAATTTTGCAATCACTATATTTTATTAGAATGTATGTACAGTTGAACCAGTAGCTATTAATTAATATTTGATACGCCGGCTGGCCTGTTTCATTCTTTATGTCCAAATTGGAGATGAAATAAAGTACTTGCATATGTAATAATTTGGATCTGAATTTCCTGAGTTTCCATTTGTGTGATCAAAATAAAAAGGCTGAGATTATGTCTTAGTGACTTAAAATCAACAGCTGAAATACATTACTACTAACGTAAAGAAATAGAAGAAGAAAAAAAGGAACTTGTGGTGTAGTTGCAATGTGAATGAAAGATTGGTAGTAGTTTGAATTATAGAATCATATGATATGATTTTAGACTTGATGACACCCATGAGATTAGTTAGATTAGAGAAAAGAAGAGGTTGGAACTACATTTGTTGTGTTTGTCTCTGTTCCATCCATTCATTGATTCATACGGAGAGAGAAGCCCCATTGTCTGCTGGAGTAAGATTGAGTATCATGGTGGCTGCCTTCAAAGCCCTGATTCATACATTTTCAAGTTAACAAAGTTAAAGAAGAGAAAAATATTAAAAGGAATGAATAAATAAGTAACTAACCATAATTGTGGAGATTGATACATAGATGCAGAAGCACCGAAGCAAGAAGCAAGCATATCAGTATTAATGACTCCCGGATTAAGCGCGACAACTGCCATTCCTTGCGGCAACTCTTTCGCCACCGACTTGGTGAGTCCTTCAATCGCCCATTTAGATGCACAGTAAGGTGCTACGAGTGCCGCACCAGATCTCCCCCAACCAGATGACATGTTCACTATTATCCCTTCCCCTTCATTCTTCTTCAACATCACTGGAATAAAATGCCTCAACACATTCGCACTACCTTTCAGATTCGTATCCATTACAAGATCGAATTCCTCCGCCGGAACCTCCCACATCTTCTTGTTCGTGTTAATCGTGCCGGCGCCGTTCACTATCATATCCGGTGGACCGCCGTTTTTCTCCATTACGATTCTTGCCATCTCTGCAACACTGTTGTTGCAAGTCACGTCGGCGTTCAGGAACAGATGCTGATTGTTGTTCGGGGTCAGTAGAGATTCAAGGGAATCCAGTTTTTCTTGAGCTCGGGAACACCCGATAATCGTGTGCCCGCGATTCGCTAACTCGATCGCAAGAGCCCTGCCGAGCCCTTTGCTAACACCGGTTATCAGAACGCTTCGGTTTCCACCGCTCCGCCCAATTCCGGTTCCTTTCACGCCGCCTCTTCCACTCCCACTGCCACCCATTCTTGTTTTTCAATTGCTCTTTCGCATAAACAAACCCCTTCCCTTTTATTCTCCTCCGTTTTAGCTTTACTTTTTATTAAGATACAGTTTTCCTTTTTTTTATTTCTCACTTTTCTATTTTTCTACCTTACCTATCACTTTTCTTTTAACAATTAAGATTATATATAAACACACTATTCTATAATTAGAAAATTTTAAATATAATTTGATCTGACCTGATCAGAAGGTTTGGACCGTCACGGTTTGCTCCGAGCTGAAAGCTTTTTGAACGAGGAGGGGGTACCTGCAAGGCACTCCGATGCTAAAGTCAGTGGGAGTACGAGCAGATAATAGAGTTGAGGTTAGAATGATCAATACCTGACCCTCTGGAAACAGAGGGTATTTATAGCCCCCAGCGCTGGGCCAAGGTTCCTTCGTTGGGCCGGGCGGATTTGGCCCAATGGAGGAACTGCCAGGTTCTACGTGGGTAGTGGGGACCAGCACGTGGTCTCCTTCCTGGATGTGCTGCGTGAAGTGCGGGCGGACGGAGACGCGGTCTTTCCGGAGTATCGTTGGGGCAACGGTGGACTGAGTCTGCCCTAGCCGGGTAGCTCGAGTCCATGTCGAGTTGCGCAGCACGGTGCCGAGCTCGACGCCAAGACCTCGAGCTGGACAGCGAGTGTCGAGCTGGACGCCAGGACATAGAGCCGGACGGCAGGGTGTCGAGCATGACTTCACCGCGTGGGGCTGGACATCGAGATGTCGAGGTGGACGTCAGGGTGTCGGGCATGGATGTGACCCCCTTTGCCCAGTGTGGTCCTTAGTGAGTCCCTTTGGACTGGGCCTTAGTAATGCTTTTGGGCCTGTCGGGCCCAGTCCAGAACAGGAGCCCCCCAAGTCGTGGTTCCTTTGCGAGGAGCCATGACTTGAAACCAAGTTGTTCCGTCGCTGTGGTCTCGTGCCCGGGATGGAGGCGTGGGCCCTCGAGGGGCCTCCTCGTGTCGTGCTCGGAAACGTCCTCGGTGGTGGATGCGTGGAGGATCCGTACCGGGCGCGTCGGTCGAGCACACGAGGCATCTTTTGGGAGCTGTGCCGCCACCCTAGGGGGGTAGGGCCATCATTGCGTTGGGAGTAGCGCGTCGAGGAGATGGAGTCCGTGGTTGAACGAGGTGACGTTTGGTATTCCACGTCATCACTATAAATAGGATCCTTGGGCCCCATAATACGTTTTCCGTTCTCCGTGTTCTCTCCGTTGCCGCTCTTAACACTTTCTCCAGTTGCGACTTCCCGTCTCAGATTCTTCCATTTCTTAGTCAAATCCCAAACTTTGATCCAAGTAAGTAATCTACTTTCTTCATTTTTCCGTTTAGAATGCATGATTCCTGGAATTTGTAGACGTTTTAGGACCGTGCGCGTGGGATTAGCCCGGTAAACTCGCGTTTTGCCCGACAGATTCATGTCTAGGACCGGCAAACGCATGTTTGTGGCCGACATATTCATAGTTTTAGGTGAAAAACTTCAGAGCTGCCCGGGGTCTTCATGATCCTGGGCGCCTGATTCATGACGGTGCCCGGTATGTTTATGGTCGTGGTCGTGGGCTTCATAGTGCGGCTCGCCATGTTCATAGCTCGGGCCGTCATGCTCGAAGAGTGGCCGCGCAGTTGGTTTTGAGGAAGAACAGTGGGTTCAGGAGAGTCGGGGAAACATCCATTTGTGAAAACGGACTTGTGAAGTCGTGTATGGGACGACATGATTATGTCGAGCATAGGACTTCATGCTCAACTGATTGGTTTCCCGTGCTCTGCAGGTAACCATGGCGAATGAGCCGAGCTCCTCCGGACGTCGTGATCGCGAAGAACAGAGTGCCGACGAGTCGGCCACCCTTATAGATACTGTGACCGACCCATTGCTGGAATGGGTGGGTGTCGAGCCTCGCGGGATAGCGTCGATATATAGCAGGGATGACCGACATCCGTTCACTGTCATTGAAGAGGGTCAAGACCAGCCCGACTTCCAGCAGAACTTCGTGGTCATGCTTCCGTCGACCAATGCAAGAATTTGCTCGGTGTATCCGAACTACAGCCTCGCGATGTATGAGATCGCGTTTAAAGACTTAGGGCTGCGGCTGCCGTTCACTGATTTTCAGACCGGGGTCTTTATGCATTTGGAGCTGGCCCCGTCCCAGCTACACCCAAACTCTCTCGCCTTCATCCGGGCGTTTGAGTTGACGTGTCGCTACTTGAGGATAGGGGCGACCATCCCTCTTTTCTTTCGGGTATTTCACCTACAGCGTCAGTCCCGAGGAGGGAAGCACAGCTGGGTGTCCCTGAAGCAGTCGAGGAGGTTGTTTAAGATGTATATGGACTCTGTGAGGGGGTTTAAGGACAAGTGGTATGTGGTGCGCCCTATTACCGACTCTGCTTTAGATTCCCTTTTCGAGGAGGAGGGGCCAGTGAGCGACGATGACGGGGAAGCGATGGTGGCCGACGACGGGAGCCCCGTGTTAGGTCGTAGGGCTAAGTTCCCGGTGTACTGGATGTCCCGACATTACGAGCATGAGACAGGTTATTTCCATACCGCTGTCGGGGACATGTGCTCGGAAGATCAGCGGTCGTACGAGGCTCTTTGCCGGTTTGTCGACAGTTTTCATCCCGCCCAATGGGTTACGCGGGAAGGGGATGATATCCTCGACAAAGACGGTTACCCGACGTTCGAGTCTCGCCCGATCGACACCAAGGCGCTGGTGGAATGTCCGACATATAGGCAGGCAGCCCGCCTGTTAGGTTGTTTGCTTGAAATTCTTTATTCGTCATTTATTTACGCAGTTTGCTCGATACTGACTTTTCCTTTATTTTGTGCAGGTACGATGGCTAGCCGACATGAAAGGCTCCTGAAATTGTCAACCGACCAGAGGCGAGGCAAGATGGTCGTGAAGGCCCCGCAGACGACGAGAATGGGGCCACCACAAGGTACGACCGCTCCCCAGCCGGTGAGGGTGGACTCGACGTCGAGCTCGGGACCCGCGTCAGATCCAGAGGTCGAGGAGATTGACCCCAGCGCCGTTTTGACTCAGAGGAAGAGGACCCGCGTGGAAGGCGGTTCGACTGTCGGGGAGGATGTCGGTGATGTTCAATCTTTTGCCTTCCCCCCTTGCTTCGAAGAGGCGGGCTTTTTCGAGCGATTCCCTCCGACAGTGGTCGCCCATGAAGCTGAGGCCATCAAGAAGATGAGTAAAGAGGAAAGGAAGGCCTATCTGGCCGCCAGCGTGGACGGGCTGGTGAAAATGGCCGAAATGGCTTTGGTGTTATCTGAGGATGCAGGGGATGCTGCTCGTGTTGAAGAGCTCGAGCAGGAGAAGGCGGCCTTGACTGCGAGCTCACGGAAGTTGAAGGTCGCTCTGGAACGTTCCGAGGAGATGTTCCGAGAGCAGACCGCGATACTTGATGCCGAGAGGGAGATGCTGACCCTGGAAAAGGAGAAGTCGGGGAGGTTGACTGAGGAAGGGGAGTTGCTCCGGACCGACAGGGATCGCTTGGCTGCCGAAGTTGAACGCCTGGGTAAACAGGTTGAGGAAATGAATGTTGTCCTGCAACCTGCCGAAGATGAGCCCGAGGACATTGTGATTTTGAAGAGTCGGGCTGAGCTGGTCGCCCACATCCGGCTCCTCGAGGCGGACTGTGTCGGTGCTCTGGAAGACGGGTTCAATTCTGCAGTCGATCAGATCTCATTGCTAAACCCCGGTCTGGTTACTGAGGGTATCGGTCACACACACCGGGTTGTAGGTGGCATGATCATTCCTCCGCCCGACTCTCCTGGCGTCGACAATGATGATAATGTGGAAGTTTGAGTAGGATAGCGGGCCTGCGTGCCCTTGATATTTGTATTTGTATTCTTTGGGCCTGCGTGCCCGTTTATTGTATGTTTTGAACACCGCCGGCCTTCTTGGTCGGTTTAATATTGCTTTGTTGCCTTCGGGCGTTTATACCTTGTTATTCATTTTGGATTTTTGCCCTTGTCTGAAATCACATGCTTGTATGAATTTAGCCTAAGCCACGGGCTCGAGGAATGCCCGTGGGTGGTTTTGATTTGGCGAGCGAATCTGCTCGTCTCCACTTGTATGCAATCTCGGCCCTATTTTGATTGGCTGGGGTTGCCCAAGTGTTGCGCTCGAGGGGAGAGATTTTCTTTTGACCCTTGTAGATGTCCCGTTATTCTTGATGGAATGTCGGGCATTTCGGAGCGAGGTTGCTCAATCGGGCGTGGAGCCCGTTAGGGACGATTCGCCCTTGGCGTGAACTGCCCATCGCGAGTTGGGTGTTCTGCCTTATGGGTACGTCGACGGTGGGGCTCGGTACATCTGTCCACGTCGGGCACTATCGATCGTCAACGTTTACCGCGCGATGCCGTGCCAATTTGGTCGTGTGTCGGGCCTGTACCTTAGCCTTAAACGAAATTGGACGTTTTTCCTCGTTGCCCGAGCGTGGTTGCTTCTGGTCGAGGGTCCTAGGTGTTGACAGTTTCTAACTGTAGTACTGCTTCAACTTAGCAGCATTCCAGGGTCTTGGTAATGGCTCTCCGTTTAACTGCTCGAGGTAGTACGCCCCGGTACCCGTGGTGCCGTGGACGCGGTAAGGTCCTTCCCAGTTCGCGGCCAACTTCCCTTCGCGGGAGTCTTTCTGGTTTCTGCGTAGTACCAGGCTGCCTATTTCGAACTCGCGCTTGATGACCTTGTCGTTGTGGCGTAGAGCCACTCGTTGTTTTAGGGTGGCTTCGCGCAGGGCAGCCCCCGATCGGATTTCCTCGACTAGGTCGAGTTCATCCCTTAGCGCTTCGTCATTCATCTCTTCGTCGAGGGGCTCCTCCGTTCGACGGGATGGTTCCATGATTTCGACCGGGATGACGGCTTCGGTACCGTAGGTCAGTCGGAACGGTGTTTCCCCCGTCGTTGAGTGGGGTGTGGTGCGGTATGCCCACAGGACGCTGTGGAGCTCCTCGACCCATCCTCTTTTGGCTTCGCCGAG